AAGGCTATATCAACAGATGAAAGGTGACAAAAGTTTGATAAATATAAATTAAAAATTATTTTGAGTCACTCACAGACATTGCTATGTAATAGGTGTATCTATCTATCTATCTATCTATATGTATATATATATATGTACACATTAATAACTGTCTGAGATGGATAAAGACAAAAGTCAATCTATCTGTATTTAGTCCCCTTTGACCATATGACTTACATAAGTTAGAGCACTACAAACTCTACAAAAGTATCATTATAGAAAGAAGATAGGCACTCAGGGTTTTCCACCCAAACAGATGTGTATAGAGATATGGATGAATGTGTAAATACATGTAAATCAGCATAACAGAACATATACATTTGAAACTTAGAGTAGGCATGGAGAAGAAACTTAGAAATCACGCCAGAAATGCCAGGAATAATTGTTTGACCACACGTCCATCCACATTCTATGTCTTTTTCCTTGGAAGGCGCTAAGAAACACCTTGAAAAAGTAATGGGTTCCCCAAAGTGTGTGATTCCTTTTGTAGCACCTGTGTCTCTAAGTTAAAATAACAGTTACAGCTGTCAGTCCTGACAACTTACCTCCTCTATCTTTCTCAGGGACTGATGAGAGCTATCACTAGTTTCATAGACAATGGAGAGTATTTTACGTAGATTTGCAGGCTAGTATTTTTTTATTTACCTTTTTTGCGTCTTTCAACGATCTTTAAAAATATCTCCATTGATTATTCTGACACCTGCTGGTGAGGGCACAGTAGATTTCAGTCTTTGCCCTTCCACAACTCTGGAACCAAAGGTTTTTATACATACATCTAGGAACAATTAAGTGATGATTTCTAGCATCCTTAGTAACCACTCAAACACTTTACTGATCACCCCACTTCACAATGGCATTCCTTTGATTCTGTTCATAAATACATTTACTTCGATTGGGGATGTTGTCACTGTCATCCCACAGGCTGTGAAAAAGAACAAGACAGGAAGAAATATGCCGGGCATCTTCCTGAAAACACAGCTCAGAACTCAATAGTAGAATAGCATAGCTGGTTTTATAGCTTTTCATAAATGTGCCAAATTTCAAACTATTTAGCTATTAAAAAGGGTAAGTTGATAGCTACGATAGAAGTTTTAGTACAAATTGCATACTTGCAATATTTCCTATTTTTCACATTTTATCCTTTTTGTTTATTATTTATTTATTTTTGTTTTTGAGATTTTAATGTAACTGCATCTTTCTCCCATTCCCTTTCCTCCCTTCAACTCTCCCTATAAAACCCTCTACTCACAATTAACTTCTGGCTTGAACTGTGCTCAGAAGCCTATACATTTTTTTCCTTGCAAGGATACAATAAAACTGCTATATCATAAATCAAACTCAAAGCTATAGCACCTTCAAGTGTGTGCAGTAAACAATATCAGCACCACTTTCTTAGGCTTTAGAAAACTCTCCAGAGGCTTAAAATATGTGCACAAGTGATTGTATATACAGTTAATGCCAGTACTAGCATCCATTTAAAGGATGAGGCATCTCAAGAATAAATTACCCAATTAACAATGTTATCATAATAACTGGCAAGGAAGTCAGAGTTTGGAGTAATTTAGATACTAAACCCAGCAAGTATGTTTTGTGGTGGTGTTTAGTAGCTATGCTCTTTCATTATAGTCATGTATATTTTAATCCTGTGTATTGCTAGATTTTTATGATTAGTAAAAATTGTAACCTAGAGAGATGGGTCAACTTTATTAAAATATTCACTGAATCTGCTAGATACTAATGTTATATAGACATTCATCTTAAGATATTTAATGAAAATCCAAGCGTTTTAATTTGAGGCAATGTTATGCACTGCAGCTGCTTGTCTGGGAAATCTTTGTAACTTTAAGATTGGGAAGGAAGAACAAACTCTTTCATTTCACTTCCCCATTTCTATTGTACATGTTTTCGACAAATCATATATATTTCTAGACAAAATAGATTTCAATTTTAAGGAAACATTTAAGAAAGAACTTTCTCAGCGTCAAAGGAAGAGCTCTGCTGTATCACGGCATTGCCTGGTACAGCCCAGACGCTGGTTTCAAACTCTCGCAGCTGAGTACTTTATGTTCACTTAACTGTTACCTTTGATATAATATTTTTAAATTAATTTAAAATGTTTCACCTTGAATCTGAGGTGAGCACTTATTTCTTAAAGTATAAAGTTAATGGTCATGCAAATTAGGTGGTGAAGACCCAAAATGCAATAATGAAATCCCTACAGAAACCTGTTATTTCAGCTTAAACATCACTATCTTAATCACTGAAGCATAGTATCATCCGAAGTGAGATTCTTCAGGTATTAATTTCTTCTCATGTAGACTTAACTAAGATCACCATTTGATTAAAAGATGGGAATGCAAATGCCAATAATTCATAGCATTTAGGGCACATCTAGAAATTTTTAGATTGTGCCGTTTGCTTAAAGACTCCAGGCACAAACTGCAGGCACAGGGACAGATTGCATAAGATGTCACGTGCTTGCAGCAACTGTATGCATGTTATTGGATTTTTTTAAAGCAATACACAATGATGAATAATTTAGGAGTTAATAAAATATTCAATCTGACTGATCCATTGGTTTAATTTTAAAATAAAGACTACTAATAAAAGGAGTTACCTACCATTATCAAGTTCCAGGCGTGAGTGCCTGTAAATTGGAATCCATACAAAGGGAAAACACTAATTCCTATAAGACATCCGATAAATTATAGATATACGATGGGGGAGGGGTAAGACAGAAGCAGAGCAAAATTCGGTGTTAACACTAGCTTTAGTAAGTTTTCCAAAAGTTTAATTGTTTGAACTATCAGGCAAGCCCAGCTCTGACTTCTGCAGAGGTCTGGAGGAAGAAAATTAAGGAGGTGCAAGTTTAACAGACAGAGCTAATGCAAAACGTCCTTTTTCTTTCCCAGAAGCTCTCTCCCTCCACCCACAGGGTGGCTTACAAAGGATGAATCTGCTGAAGAATGGAGGGAATAGGTTTCCGGAGCTTTGTCTAGAGGACCACATTGGAAAGCCCGGGCAACATCTCCGTGGTCCACTTGACTGGTGGTATTAACTGTGCCCTCGGTGGGCATCTTCAAAAGCTCAGGACAGCTGCAATTTGTCGTACCAGGCTCTAGCAACTAAAAGGTCTGGCAAGCACCGTCACTCATTAGGTCCTCTAGCATCCTGCCACCTCTGATATGGGTCAGATAGTGGCAGAGGCATGGTGTAGGTGCTTGTGTGCATGAGCGTAGCATGTGTGTGTGCGTGTGTGCGTGTGCGTGTGCGTGTGCGTGTGCGTGTGCGTGTGCGTGTGTGTGTGTGTGTGTGTGTGTGTGTGTGTTCCTATTGGGGTGGGAACGGAGGCGGGGATAGAAGGAGGAGAGGGGAGTGCCCTCAGCTTTTCCAGTTCCCTTCCAGCTACGGAATCAAAGTGCAGAAGGAATACAGACAAAAAATAAAAGAAACAGGAAATAACAGCTTTGGGAGCCTTTTCTTTTCCTTACCACTAGAGACTTGGAGACCTACCCCGGAATCATTTCCATATGCTAACCTTCACTGGAGTGGCTGCCTCTACGAGGTAACTCTCTGGGTTTGGAAACAGATGCAAAGACAGATCTCACACTCACTTCTACCAGCTGCATTCTAGAGAGCTAAGAGGACCTGAACTAGCCACCTTCTGAGTCCTGAAGAGAGGGCTAAGCGGGCATCTTGCCCGCAACACAGATTTCCGGAGCATAGTCCCCTAAGAGCTTATCATCTAAAGCACATAGGCGGTGCATTTGTGTAGTATTGAGTATCCATGCAGTGCCCAGTCTAATCTCAAATGGATTCGAGTCAACGCAGTTTTTTTTATTCCAAATACTTCTACAGCCACAGCGTTTTAAATCCGTGTAGTGTACGCAGCTCTCCACTTAACGCTGTCTGTGGAGGATTCTCTTACGGATCTCTGAGAAGGGCTGCCTGTCTCCCTGAACGCAGAAAGGGCACAGACACCCAGTATCTTGGAACCCCCTCTCCTTTCTCCATGGGTTCCTGGCTCCAATTCAGTACCTGCTGGTAAGGTTCTGAAGAGGTTTTGTATGTATAAAGCCTAATCTCTCAGAGGATCTGAAAGTCACCCAAACAACTCAGCAGGAGACTCACTGAAGTCCTGCGTTTTTTTTTTTTTTAAAAAAATAATGTTGTTTTATTTTATTTGCTTGTTTCCTATTTACACGCAAGCCAAGAAAGACACAGGCAGACCAGCCTGAGCAACTTTTCGGCTCCTGGGCTGGGGGCACATGAAGGTTGGTTTGCACCTCACAGCTGTCTATTACCAAGAGTTATGGTCTTACCCAGAGGGAGTGCACAGTAATGCTCAGGCCCCCTGGGGGTTAGAAGCGAGGGGAGTTGTTGAGTTGTTATAATTGAAGTCACGCGCCCAGGAGGAGGAAGGGGGAGAAAGGAAGCCAGGGAGTTAGTAGACCTCTCTCATCTCACTGGCAGCACAAACTCTCAATATGGGGGTCCAGGTTGGCGGACCCCCTTAGCCCCCGCCCTGCGCCAGGGCACTGCATCCAGCCTACCGCCCTGCGGTTATCCAGGCTAGATGATGGCCCCCGCACACTTGGCAACCTCGGTTCTGCCAGGTCTTAACCACAGCCCTCTCTACTGTCATCGCCGGCCAGCAACATTCACACTTTCTAGCCAGGGTCCCGCAGAGAATCCAAGGCAAAGGAGGCTCAGGAAGAACGCCCCCCTCCCACCCCACAGTCTTGTTTTTCAAGATCACACCCTCTTCCCCCCGCTCAGCCTGGGGCACTCCACTCGGACTTTGCTAGCACTTTCTCTGGGTATCCAGGGCGCGTCGCCTCCTCCGCGGCGCTCCCCCACGCCAGGCACGCATTGAAGACCCACTGTGGTCTCTTGAGCGGCATTTCCAAAGGCGCTCCCCGCCCGTCCCGCATCCAGCGACCCCTGCCCGGCCACCTCACCTTTGCCGAACTGAGGCACACCGAGGCTGAGTCCAACCAGAAGCCAGGCAGCTACCAAGCGCTTCATGATTCCGTTTCGCAGACGTGACCCGGGCAGGTCCGGGGGTCGCAGCGGAGGGCACTGTCGGCGAGGTGGCCCTGCAGGGCAGCAGTAGACCCCGCCCCTGTCAGAGCTTCAGGAGGACGTCTTTCTCCCGCAGCGCTTCCTCAAACAAATTCTTGGGAAAGGGTGATGGAGAGTGATGGCCCCGAGAGAAAGGGTGTCCCCCCCTCACCACCACTCCGCTGGGGTACGCGGAGGTGGATGCGCTGGAGAGCGGCTGGGGCTCCGCCGGCGCTGCGGGTGGGTCCTGGCCGAGGCGCCGCGGGCGGAGCGCGGGCTCCCGGGGTTCCCGGCTCCCCGACTTCCGTGCGCGCACCGCGGGCGGAGCAGCCAGCAGTGACTCCGGCTCACGCTGCTGCCGCTGCCGCGGCGGCTGCGGGGCTTCTGACTTGGAGAACAATGAAGCGTGAGCTGGAGGGGAGCGAGCCTGAGGCCAAGAGCGCACTGTGTACAAACAGTGGCGGCGCGCGGGCGCGCGTGTGAGCCTGAGCCGAGCAGCAGGCTGGCTTTGGGCTCCCCCGGCGCCCGCCCCCCTGCCCTCCCTCTTCTTATTGCCTCCTCCAATCTCAGTCCCCCCCACCGCACCCTCCCCCGCCCCCCTCCTTGGAAGGTGGCTCCTTCTGCTGGAAGAGAAAGGGAGACAGTAGCAGCCACACCCTGGTACCTGCCACCATCTGCTAAGTTCCTATGTTGCTTGAACCTTCTCCACACATGATGGAAACTCTAGGGTTAGGGGAACTCAAGTGATGTCTGAAAAGTGTTGATTCCAGGCTTTGTTTTAACCATGTAAAGGCGTCCTCTGAACTTCAGGACTGGCAGGGAAAGAAGTTAAGAGATTCCACAAAGTGGCTCTTGACGCCTCAAGCTGGGTGAAACCCAGCACTGCTAAAAGGAGTGTTGCGATTTCTCAGAAGTCACGATTTAGTCGGGAGCCAGACCCTAATCAGGCAAGACAGGCTGTTGCGCCGTTGTTGTTCTGTCTGCAAATCAGTAAGCTCAGGAAGGTAGGGAGGTTGTGGGCTCAGCTGCTCCCAGCGGGGGGAAAAGGCAAAAGCGAGTAGGAGGAGGTCTGTAAGCAGGACATCTGTTTCACATGAGAAAAAGAGAGAAGTTTGGGGACATGGCAGAGAAGCAGAGGGAAGAGCAGATTCTTGACACATCACTCAGGTGGATCAAATTTCGCTGCTCCCCACCAAAACTAAAATAAATGGGCTTATTTTGCACTGAAAGTGATTGAACCAAAAATACAGCCTCTGGCTTACAATTGTGCTTTCTCCTCTGTTTTCGGTTAGAATGATTGCTTACTCTAGATTGAATTCCTGCAGTACCAAGTACCAAAATGAAACAGAGGATTCCGCGCCCTCTCCCAGTCCCCGTTAGGGAGGGAGGGGGAAAGACAGAAGCACATGCTTAGAAAAAGCTGAAGGAAGCATCAGCCCACAGGATTAGATGTTGAAAGCAGACAACCATGAAACCTCCTCTTCATTTTCATCCTCAAGTCCTTGGAACCTGAACTTCCACCATCTTTCTGGTGCTTGAAGTGAAAATCAAGGATGGAAGGCCATGAACATCAACTAAAAAATAACACCCCCCAAAAAAAGAAAAGAAAAAGAAAAATGTAAAAAAAGAAAAAAAAAAACAGAAAAAGAACACCAAATGATTGCTAGGGAGGGATATGTATCATGGGCAAAATGTCAACCACAAAAACAAAGTTTCTCATGTTGGGTGGAAGGGTGACAACATGTGTTTAAAAAGTTATTTTACCAAGGGAAAGATTCATTTATTTACTGGGGACTTTCATGCTTAACTCCACCCCTGTTGGAAGAGTATTGTTCAGAGTTGTAAATTCCTTCTACTCAATCACAACTCTGCTTTCTTGTGTATCACTATAATTTAACTCAGAAAGTGCATTCATGCTGTGACATGTGCTTTACAAAGGAGTACTCTAACTTGTGAAATGACAAGTCACTTTCAAGGGATTATTTTAAAAGAATATGGCAAATTCTAAAACGCAGAATCTGAACCTGCTCTGCATAAGGTAGCCAATGAGAAACAACAGGATAAAAATCGTGTTTGCTTTCTTATTGGATTTACTATTTCCACTTTACTAATAATATATATTGAGAAGCATGTCAAGGTTTTATCATTTTCTGCAAAATGTAGACTACTAAACATATCCTTTCTAAAGAAGTTTTATTTTGTTGTTTTTCATTTTGTTTTGCATTTTATACTCAAGAAGGCACAAAACTACATTCAAATGCATAGTCTATGGCCAAACAAATGGAGTGATGAGGACTCTGAAGGTCACTCTTTATTAAGTGGTGTACCACATTTGGAAGGTGTTACTAATTTAATCCCTCTGCATCCTTAAGTCTCACTTTCAATCAGAAGGTGGTATATAGTCTTAAACACAGCTGCACTCACAGGAGGGGTGGAGGTCGACACTTCTTTCTTCCTGCTTATTGATAATGACCATCTACAAACAAGCCTTTCACTCTGAGGATTTCAAGTACTCACCCTCAATTACATCTACATTTACACTTTCATTACAAATTCATTTCACATTTATTCTACTTATACAGGGCTGTACACACACACACACACACACACACACACACACACACACATATACAACTCTTTCACAGGTGGAATATAGAAATGTTTAAAAGATTGCACAAATTGAAAAATCAAAGAAAGAAAGGGTAAAAGGACAAAATGCTGTTATGAATTTTTTCCTGCACATAAAGTGCTAAGAGACCTTTACTAATCACATATGATCCAGCCTATGGTTTTACAGCTTCTCCAAATATGTGCCTAAAGTACTAAAAATGATCTATACATCACATGAAAATAGCATTTCCCAAATTGTTTTCTACAGGCATTCTTAGCCTTAGAATGTTGATAGATTTCTGGGAAAAGAAAATAAAAGTTTTGCGTGGACAAATGATTTGGGGAGCATTGTATACTAAAGAAGCTTCTTATATACCCTTGATGGATATTTACATATTATTTTTTTTAAAAGTTCTGTGGTTAAGAAAAGTTTCCAGTAGTGGTTAACCCAGCATTTTGCAAACTTTGCTGTTGTAGGCATCATGACAAGCTTTTCCTTAATATACCTGTTAATATGTTGTAGATTTAGCACTGCAAGGAAAGAATTATTGCCTTGAAACGAAGCAAAAATAAGTAGAATCAAATGAGAAAATGCAGAAAGCGTATTGAGTTTTGCTAACAACTGAATATTTCTTTCCTCATATGATTGTGGTGATTAATCTCCATTGTCAACTTGATGAGATCTAGAATCCGCACCAGGGAATTGGGCCCCTGGGAATGTTTGTGACAGGTTCTCTTGATTACATGGAGGTGGGAAGAGTTTCCCACTGTGAGTGGCATCACTCCACAGGCTGGAATCCATGAGTGTATGGAGAAAGGGAGAGCATGAACTGAAGTGTCTTCTGCACCATGCTTCTGGTTGGGGGATGCAACGTGACCAGTTGTCTCAAGCTCCTGATGCTATGATTTCATCATCATGATAGACAGCTTGAACTGTGGCCTGAACTAAACTTTTTCTCCTTTGAATCACTTTGGGAAGGGTATTTTATCACAACAGCAGAAGAGTAAACCAATGCACAACTTTGCTGCCTAGAAGTGGAGCCAATACCGTGATAAGCCTTAGGTATCACCCAGGTCTTAGGGTTTGGGGCTCTTATTTGCTCGTAATTAAAATAGTTTTTTACTTTGGGCTACAAAGGCTGTATCTGGCTGGCTAAAAAACTTAATGCACCTTTCTTGAGGAAGTTTGAAAGACAAGGATGCCGAGAAACAGTCGACAGTGGAAGCCAGGCCCACAAGGAAATGAAGATTTGGTTAGGAACTAGTCTAGTGACCACTTGTATAATATTTTTCCTGAGGATCAGGTTTCATTCTTCCCTGTGTCCTGAGTCATTCACTGAAGTGGAATTTAAATGAATGTTATTCAAGAGAGGATAGTGTTTGGGCAGGGTAGGTGCTAAGAAAGCAGAAGTAATTGTAGAGGTGAGGGAGAGAGGGGGGCAGGTTTAACTGGAGAGAGAATTCTTGGCTACACTGGGACAATGGGAAAAGGTCCTTGAGGCAAAATTGTACCCATGAGACGTACCATTTTATGGAGATTCAAATTCATTAAAGGAAGATTGTTTAAACTGAAACACAGACTGATGCTGAAGGAATGCCCTGATTCTCAATAGCAGACACCTGGAAAAGTGTTTTCCCCTGGTCAACTTGCAGATGGCGATACTCCTCTGGTCCCAGAGGTGGGGATTTACATTCTAGGTTGGCAATGGAACTTGGAAGTATCATCCAGGTGGGACTAGTTTTACAGGTAAATGTTAAAACGTGGAGAGTTGCCTTATGTTTTCATACAGCAATTGTGTAGAACAATGAATGGCAGGGTTGAAGTCTGTGCAAGGAGGCTCTGAGTGGCTGTTGTGTAAAGCTGTGAAGGTTGGTTAAGCTTAAATTGCAACAGAGATGCAAAAGATATTGTAAATAGCAGGTCCATTTGATACCTACAGAGGAAACCTTCGTGCACAGAGTAGAGTTGACTAAAGGCAGAGGTTGTGGTGCAAGCAGCAGAGATGGAGGTATAGATTTACATAATGTCTTTGGCATATAGTTGATTTATTAATCATGGTCCTGAGATGCTGGACATGGAGATGTAGGATTTGGCCTTTGCCCTACTGGGTTTTGATCTTACCAAAGTGCTGTGCTGTGTTCATATTAAATCATTTGAAATGGGATGATTTGTTTTAAGCCATGGTATGTTAGAAGTATGTAAGTTGTGTTGATTTTATAGGATTTCACACTTCAGAGATTGCCTTGTGTCTCAGATGAGACAATTAGTTTAGACTTCTAAACTGTTGAAATTGATAAAGACTATGGGGACTTCAGAAGTTGGATTATATTTTTACTTATATGATGAACCTGAGAATTTGGAGATACAAGGTGAAAAAGTATGATTTAAATTGGTATCAAGTGGACAAGGTATAGAGTTGTGATAGCTAATCTCAATCGCCAATAATATGAAATCTAGAATTGCCTAAGAAATGGACTTCCACTCATGCCTATGGAATTCCCTTGATTACACTGAGATGGGAAGACCTGACCACTGTGGATACCACCATTCACCAGATGTGGATCCTGAGCAATGAGGAAAGGAGAGTGAGCTGAGAACAAGCATGGGATGTTTTCTGTGACGTGGGCAGATGCTTCAAGGTCTTTGCATGATGGTGTCTTTGCCATAATGGACTGTAATCTCGAAGTGCGCCAAAATTTTCCCTATTTAATTGCTTCTGTTAGCGTATTTTATTAAGATCATAGGGAAAGAAACTAACACATGATGAATTCTGAAGGCAGAGTCTTTGGTGGTGATGGTAGAACAATCCTTAGTGAAATTAGTGTCCCCATGAGAGG